AAGGGACTCTCAAGAGTCTTCTCCAGCACCATAGACGTTCAAAATAATCTATTCTTCGGCGCTCGGCCTTCCTTATAGTCCAACTCTCGCAGCCATACATGAGTACTGGAAAAACCATTGCTTTGACCATGCAGACTTTTGTTGGCAGGGTGATGTCTCTACTTTTTATCATGCTGTTTAGGTTCGCCATCGCTTTCCTCCCAAGGAGCAGGCGTCTTTTAATTTAATGACTGCTGTCACAGTCTGCGGTGATCTGGGATCCCAGGAACGTGAAGTCTGTCACTACTTCCACGACTTCCCCTTCTATTTGCCAAGGAGTGATGGGGCCGGATGCCATGATCTTAGTTTTTTTGATGTTGAGCTTCAAGCCCACTTTTGCGCTCTCCTCTTTTACTCTGAGCAGGAGGCTCTTTAGGTCCTCTTCACTTTCTGCCATTAGAGTGGTATCGTCTGCATATCTGAGGTTGTTGATCTTTTCCCCAGCAATCTTAATTCCCGCTTGTGATTCATCCAGGCCAGCATTTCGCATGATGTACTCTGCATATATATTAAATAAGCAAGGTGACAATATACATCCTTGTCGTACTCCTTTTCCTATGCTAAACCAATCAGTTGTTCCATATCCGGTTCTAACTGTCGCTTCTTGACCCTTATACAGGTTTCTCAAGAGACATGTGAGGTGGTCTGGTACTACCAGTAATCTAAAGAGCAAATTACACAAAGCCCCCTGGTGATGCAAGGAGGGGAGAAATGGTGGGTGGGAGGGGAAATGGCACCAGATGTGGACCCCCCCACTTTTTACAACCACCGTGAGGACAAAGGGGAGGAGGGTCATCATCACTGAAGCTAGATGCCTCCCTGCTATTTTTTGATAATGAAAAGTATTCTATATCAAAAATTTTTACCACTCCTTGTAGGAGAAGAGCTGGCCCATGGCTTATGAGCATCAGCTCAGGAAGGGCTAAAAATGACAGCAGAGCGGGGGCCTTGAGGGTTTTTAAAGGGTTACTCTACACCCCCGGCCCTTCCATACGTTGACTTACTCACTGTCTTGTCTGTTTTTGTCCCTTGCATCGAGCCCCTTTACTTTTTGTGCATGAATCTAGCACATCTCCCACATCAGTCGCCACCCTGGGGGGAAGCTGTGTCATCCCACTGAGGTGCTGCGCGAAGGAAATGTGCCATGGCGATTAGGCTAGCCTTCAGCAGAAACCTTCCGTTCTGCTCACCAAGCCACAACACCCCAACCCCTCTTGGTTTTGTATTAGTTACTGTTGTGGTCTCTCCAGGGAATCCTGGGAACTGTAGTTCGGCAAGGGTTTTGAGTCTGCTCCTTAACTCCTTCTCCCATCGCTGAAGGCCATTTCCCTAGGGAGAAGGAAAGAACTGACCATATTAACCATGGGGCAGATTTGTAACAGCTCATGTCTACTCCTGGTTCCTCTCAGCTTTGGGAACCGCCTCCCTTCACTCTCTAGGCTGAGTTTCTTGTTTCCACTCCCAGTGCCTGAAGCCCAGATACTCAGTCACTGAGGTGCAAAGGGAAAACCCTTCACTTCCCCAGGTGGCCTTAGACTTTACAGCACCCTCAGCAGTAAAGGAAAACACTGCCCATTTCTACTTGCACAGCAGGTATTCATACATCTGAGCTGACAGTGCCTCCCCTGCTTACACACCAAGGCACACCTCTGCCCTCCTGGTGCCACAGCTGGGCAGCTCAACCTGCTTCCTTGCCTTTGAGCTCTTCAGGTTGACTGCTCCCATGTGGAACAACGATCTGGGCGATCACGTCAAATCTCATCTTTGCTTGAGGCCTGGCCTACCTCATTGACCTATTGTGCACATAATGTAGGCCAAACATTTTGAATTCTGAAACACAAACCACACTGCCTGAGCCTGCGATCTTATGCAGCACAAGTGGAGCTGCACAATGTAAACAGCAACTAGCCCCCCTTCTGCAGCAGTCTTCTGTGACTCTCCAAAACTGTGGCACCAGTAGGTCAGTGGTGCCCCCAAAACCCGATGGGTGTCAAAATGGAAGGCTGCAGTGAGAGAGGTGAATCAGGGGAAAAATGCCCTTCTTTCCCACAATCTCAAACAAAAATGGAGGCTCGGATCCAGGCTATAGTTTTTCAGATGGAATGACCACACCAGTGGCATTTGAGGACCATCCGATTGAGAATGGAGTGATGAAAGCAGAGGCAGCCAGGAGCTCTCCTTGGGGGGCAAAAGCCACTGGGTAGCCACTCACAGCCTCGCACTTCAACCACTTCAAATCTGTTTGGTGTCTGTCTGTCACCTAATGGGGAAATGCATCTTGCAACTTAATTATATATTCCTTTCCTTTCGTCTGATTAAAGTTCCTTGACCAAAGAAATTGAGCAATAAAAAACCCTTCTTTTAAGTAACACCATCTGGACATAAAACCAAACCAATGGAAAAATTTTGCTAAAGCAAGGGTATGGGTTAAGGAATCCGTCAGATAAAAGGAGTAAAACTAGCTTGTGATGAGACAAAGATGAAAAATTATCTAGGTACTGTGTTTAAAACCTATTTCTAAGGCTAATATAAAGAGGACACTCCAATGCAATATGTATTAAAGTACCAATTTCCCCCTAAGAACAATCACAAAGGCCATCTGAGTAAGGATGGGAGTGGGCTGTAAATTCAATTGAGATAATAAGAAAACTCAGAAATCATTTGGGATAGTTAGAGAAAAAGCATAGGAAGGCAGTGATTTTGTTGGAGGAATACAAAAAAAATTAAAATAAAGAAGAGCAAACCCTGCAGGCATGAGACCATGCACTCAAGTAATCCCTTTATTGGATATTCTTCTTGATATATGACTTAATTATATATTAAATTTAAAATGAATAGCTTACATTTTACCCTTCCTTCTTCCCCAAGGAGATCATGGTAGCTTGCCAGGGCTCCTCCTCTTTTATCCACACAACAACCCAGGGAGATAGATTATAGGCTGGGGGTGGAGGATTTGGCCAGAGGTTACTACTAAAGCTTAGATCCTGAGTAGTGGTTCTGGAGTTCCAAGGACTTTCATTTGAGGAATGCACTTTCCTGCCTGCCCCCACCCCCAATTTCTGTTCCAGGAGGTCCCCTGTGCTCCCTGAACAGGATTTCAGGTGGCATTTGGGACTGTCATGGGAGAGGGGAGGCAGGAAAACCACACTCCATGAGTGGAAGTTCTTGCACTCATGGATATATAGCTAGTCAGGATCCAGCCCTGTGGGGATTTGAACCTCTATACCAGACAGACTATCTGCATTAATACCTGCCCTCCAATAAACAGCACATACCAAGATGAAATTTAAGCAGCTTATAAAACAGCAGCTAACAGATTTTGGTCTACTCCATCAAGGATATTTCTACAGTCCTTTTTTGTTCTATTTCAGGTGAGGAAATACCTGAAAGCGCCAGGTCAAGCAGGTTGTTGTGTTGGGAAATGCTTTCAAACAATCTCATCGGGATCTGATTATTTTTATAGCAAAATGCATAATGTCCTGCAAGGGTGGGTATTTCTCTCTCTCTTTTTAGTGGCAAACCCCATTCCCCATGAATTAATCATAGCCCAGCCCCCCTCCCCCCCAATGCAGAGAGGCCTAAGCGGCCTTTGTCCACCAACAGTTTTGTAAGGACAGAATGTGATCCTCGCCTCTACCTCTTCCTCGCCCCAACAGCATCCCCATCAGGCATCACAAGGAATCCTGAGCAGAAAAGGTATGGCAAGGCAGCCCTTTGAGAAGAAAGTACCCTCCCAGTGCCATGCTGCTGAGTCAGCAACTTCTGGCAGGAAAGTTTGGAAAAAATGATCCCAGCTGCTCCACTCCCCCTTTTGGGGGAATTGTCCTGAATGCCTGCAGCATCAAAGATTCCTCTGTGCCCCACCCAGCCAAAGTAACAGGAAAGCAGAGCAAATTGTCTCTGCAATGAAGAACATTTAGGTGGGGCACCAAGCATTTTGTGCCAGCAAGAGTCAATGAAAAGCTGATTTAGCACCTCCAAGGTTCTTTATTGAGTGTGCTATAATAGAAACTCTCAGAGAGGCTTTCAACCTAAAAGACACAAGAAGAAGAGTTTTCTGTTGCCCTTGTGGAAATTGGGGTGAGTGTAAAATGTTACTATATGAGGTGGCTTTAATATAGATGCACTGAAATATATAAATTCTGAATCTGCTCCACGCACTCTACCCGCCCCACGCTGCTGCTACCTTCTGCTTCTGCCTGCTCTGATGGTGCGGGTCTCAGCTGCTGGGCCTCCTTCTCCCCAGCCCCCCGATGCCTCAGAGGCAGAGGTCATTTCAGGGGGGGATCGCAGTTCCCGCGGGTGAGGTATGGGGGCGGGGCACATGACGAAGCCCCGCCCCCTGCTTCCGGCCGCCCCGCTTCCGGCCCTCATTCAGCCAGGAGGCAGGAGAAGAGGGAGGGTATGTTGCTTCCTCCCTGCCTCTCCCCACCCCTGCCTGCCTGGGGCCAGGGAGGGC